CAAATTCTATAAGATGTTCAGATTGAAAAGCAAGATTGACTTATAGGCAGAACATTTGTCTTTGGGACCTCTCAGTTCTACCATGGGTGACTTGGCACTTTGTCCCATCATGTCTAATGGGCAACAGACACCACTGCCTAGGAGGTAGTCTTGCTCTTCTTGTTCTTGTGAAGGCTTTGACCACATAAGTAGATTACAAACTGGAGTAAGGTACAGTGAGCCGAAATACCTAGGTTCTCCAACATATCTCTATGACCAATGACTGGCAGAAGGTGACCGTAAGATCATTCTGGAAGACCCAGAGATTCCTAGAGGGAGGTTCCCTCTAGAAAATTATAGTTTGAGATTAATTTACTGTTAACAAAAGCCACAGAACAAGGAACTCTTCATAACTCCTTACTTGGCAGCCCTGCATCACGTAAACAGTGCTTAAGGGAAATGTCTCTGGACTAGTTTGTTCTGCTGATTTTATCAAAGACTGCCCATGCAGCCATAACCCATTCATAACCCATTATGAATTTCAGCAAAAACATCTGGTTAGGAAGAAGAGGTGAAGAGAGGAGTCCAATTTTGTGTTTGGTTCTGACGTGAGTGGTGTTGACAAAACATTTCATTTCATATAGTGTTCCTCTTTGTTGGAAGGAGGCTCATTAAAATGTACTTTGATTTTTATTTCTTTTTGTATTTGGAGATTGTAAAAGCTTATGGTCAAAACAACTGAACCGATGGTTTATATTATGTTCAAAATTTCAAGCTCTCTTTCATGGCCATGTGTTTTGGAAACAACTGTAAAAATAAGATCGCTACCCTGCAACCAAATAGTTCAGGCTTTGTTACTATGTTGGGCCCACAAGAATAGGGCCAGAGAACTTGGTGGGTAAGCCAGAAAATAAACTGAATTTTGCAATTTTGTTCTACTTTTCTCAGAATAAATCAACTTTGAGAATTTTGAATGTTAACAACATTCCTTGTGTCGGTTTTCATGAATTACAGTAGGCTTTTTTTACTGCTTTAACATGTTGTTGTTGTTTTTGTTGTTGTTGTTGTTGTTCCTGCTGTTATTATTTTTAATCAGGGTGGGAATTGTGTGCCCTTCCTTTTCTTAGGGTGCATCTACAGTATACAATTAATGCAGTCTGACACCACTTTAACTGCAATGACTCGATGCTATGGAATCCTGGGAGTAAAATGGTTAAATGGATGCTTACCAATGCTTCCTCTTCAACTTGGAAAGAAGTGACAAGTGGAGTGCCGCAGGGTTCTGTCCTGGGCCCGGTCCTGTTCAACATCTTTATTAATGATTTAGATGAAGGGCTAGAAGGCATGATCATCAAGTTTGCAGACGACACCAAATTGGGAGGGATAGCCAATACTCCAGAGGACAGGAGCAGGATTCAAAACGATCTTGACAGATTAGAGAGATGGGCTGAAACTAACAAAATGAAGTTCAACAGTGACAAATGCAAGATACTCCACTTTGGCAGGAAAAACGAAATGCAAAGATACAAAATTGGGGGACGCCTGGCTCGAGAGCAGTACGTGTGAAAAAGATCTTGGAGTCCTCGTGGACAAGTTAAACATGAGCCAACAATGTGATGTGGCAGCAAAAAAAGCCAATGGGATTTTGGCCTGCATCAACAGGAGCATAGTGTCTAGATCTAGGGAAGTAATGCTACCCCTCTATTCTGCTTTGGTTAGACCACACCTGGAATATTGTGTCCAATTCTGGGCACCACAATTCAAGATAGATATCGACAAGCTGGAATGTGTCCAAAGGAGGGTGACTAAAATGATCAAGGGTCTGGAGAACAAGCCCTATGAGGAGTGGCTTAAGGAGCGGGGCATGTTTAGCCTGAAGAAGAGAAGGCTGAGAGGAGATATGATAGCCATGTATAAATATGTGAGAGGAAGCCACAGGGAGGAGGGAGCAAGCTTGTTTTCTGCTTCCTTGGAGACTAGGACGCGGAACAATGGCTTCAAACTACAAGAAGAGATTCCATCTGAACATTAGGAAAACTTCCTGACTGAGAGCGTTCAGCAGTGGAACTCTCTGCCCCAGAGTGTGGTGGAGGCTTCTTATTTGGAAGCTTTTAAACAGAGGCTGGATGGCCATCTGTCAGGGGTGATTTGAATGCAACATTCCTGCTTCTTTGCAGGGGGTTGGACTGGATGGCCCATGAGGTCTGTTCCAACTCTTGATTCTATGATTCTATGATCCTATGAGTAGTATTTTACAAAGTATTTACAAAAACATGCTACCAATCTCAAGAGTCCATAGCATTGAGCCATCACAGTTAAAATGGTGCCTAACTGCATTAATTCTAACTGTAGATGCACCCTAAATCAACAGCTTTCAGCGGTACCCTATACATATTGATTTTGAAGTCCTACTAAGTTCAATGAAGCACACACAAATGTAAATATGTATAGGATTGGGGCCTAAATGTACACTTTTTGTGGCTGTATACCTTCAAGTCATTTCCGACTTATGGCAACCATAATGCAAAGCTGTTGCAGGCTTTTCTTTGTGCAGAGGAGGTTTTGCTTTTGCCCTGTGATTTTCTTAAAGTCACCCAGTAGGTTTCCAAACCCTATTTTCCAGAGACATAATCTAATGCTCAAACCACTACACCTTCCAAAATATAGGATAATTAAGTAATACCATTTCATCACATGGGGCTTTTTTTTTAGCACCCTAGGATACTTGCTTGCCAGCCCACTGACATCACTGGACTTCCCAGCCGAGCCCCTGCCTACAACCAGAGTGGAAGCATCCTAGGAAGCTTCCTTCCAAACACAGGAGTCTGTGTCCCCCCTCATTCCTGCCATTTCACCACGGAATCGAGGAGGCATGGAGGCTGGTGAAACAGCACCAGAAAGGGAGGGGGGGAGTCCCCCATGTGATAAAGTCCTTAGTTTAGATACATGCAAAAGATTCAAAAGAGCATGGAAAAGTTATTATTAAAACAATTCCCAACACATGTGCACCCTGGCACAAATGGCTATTGCTAGGAAAAAAAATATTGAACACAGTTCCTCAAGATTTACTCATACATAGGGTACAACTACCTTGTAGAATTAAGTTCTGTGATTATTTAGTTCTTCTTCTTTAACATGCTACTAGATGCTTTCCCATTTTTAAAAATAAAATAATATATTTATACGTATTTATGTATTAAGCAGATGATTTACTTGTGAACTATACTGAGGATAAAGGTAAAGGTAAAGGTAGTCCCCTGACATTAAGTCCAGTCATGTCTGACTCTGGGGTGTGATGCTCATCTCCATTTCTAAGCTGAAGAGCCAGCGTTGTCCGTAGACACCTCCAAGGTCATGTGGCCAGCATGACTGCATGGAGCGCCGTTACCTTCCTGCCGGAGCGGTACCTATTGATCTACTCACATTTGCATGTTTTCGAACTGCTAGGTTGGCAGAAGCTAGAACTGACAGCGGAAGCTCACGCCGCTCCCCGGAATCGAACCTGCAACCTTTTGATCACCAAGCTCAGCAGCTCAGTGCTTTAACCCACTGTGCCACCGGGGGCTCCAATTGAGGATATAATACATTATTTCCAATTTATTCATTCAGTCATTGTTTGGACTATGGAGGATTCCTATGCTTGCATACCTTCTTAAAAATATAAACCATTGGACAAGAGATCTATTTTAACAATTCATGTGTATTTTACAAATGTAAAGTCCAAGAAAATGGGTCAGCCCAACCCAATGTATTTATCTAGACCTTGTTTATATCCTCTATACTTGCCCTTTTCTTATTCTTTTGTCTTACTCTATTTTGTTTCTTTTCCTTAAAAGAAAGTGAAAAATTAAAATTTCTTGAAAAACTCAGTTGAAAAATGGAGAAGAAAATTTCGATGCAGATCTGGTATCAGAGTGGAAGAAGAAAGTAGTGTCCTGCTGAATCAAAGGATTATCTTGTTCCAGGAGTATATATGGGTTCCTATTGGAAGACACAAGCAGGGCAAGAAAATAAAGCTAATACACAAGTTCAGATATTTTGTACCCTTGTGAAGAACATTAAGCATCAGTGAATTACCTTGGGTTCCCCTTTCATGGGAGAGGGAAGGGAAAAAAAATACCTATGCATAGTTTCATATATCCCTAATATATTCTCAAAGCCACAACACCCTGAATGTTGCTCCAGCCCTTGGATCATTTTCTAGACATGATACCCATGCTAATCAGTAGTCCCAAATGTATTTTTATGACTCAGATGGGTAGGAATCCATAAACAAGCAAAACATGTTTTAAGGTGCCATGAGACTCCTTGTTTTTTAACTCATGGCTTTTGTTACCTTTTTTTGAACCTGTTCATATTCCCTATAAAGAAGTACATACGTTGATCTTCTGTTGTGCTACATAAAATGTATCCTTACACCATGGCAACTTCCAAGCTCAGAGGCAGGATTGCTCTGCTCCCAATATAATATCTCCGTGCCTGCTATATTTTTGCTTTCAAATAGACAGGAAATGTGGCCTCAGTTATCCTTTGCTTTAATGAAGTGTTTTCTTTCCTCTTTAACACCTGGGTACAGCAATCGTCATTAACAGCTTTCTCCCATCACCAGTTACCCAGCGGATAAGAAATTAGCCTGACATGTTAACATGTTTACTTTTCCTTAATTCTGCACTTCAGAAACAGCTGCTAGGACTAACATCTTTGGTGGCCATCCCAATTGCAGCACTGACTATTGCCCAGCATTAGTGTAATCATGGCACTTTAATAACCCCATTACCACCCCAGCTAAAAGGGTCACAGCAACTTAAGGGAGGATTTCTGAGAAGCAAATACAGTTTGCTAGTGTAATGAGATGGAAACTGCAAACTGTTGCATCTATTTCTCCCCACTGTTATAACTGAAAGACATAATGTGCTCAACCAGCAAAAATTTGTGCCTGGACCAAAGGTGGGGCTTTGATCAAATTTATGTCATTGGGATCACTCAAAGGGTTATAAATATGGAAAGTAGAAGAGACAGAAGTCACTTGTTTCCTGTCTCCAAACTCCAAATTTTTCCTCATCATCCTCTTGGCTAGGTAAGTCTGATTTCTCCAGAATTTTCAGTGCAGAACATAGGCTTGGGTTCAGAACTTGGAAGTAACATGTTACCAAAGGTGTTACTTCTAATATGTTACTTTTAATGTATAAGATGGGTGTAACCATGGTCTTTTTGTGAAATAACATAATGAATGAATATTGTCACTTTTTGTGTAATAGTTATTATCTCAAAATAGATTCAGGCCATTTGTCTATTTTTGACATTACAAAAAATTAAGAAATAGCAAGAAGTAACATAATAACAGTCAGGTTTTTCCAAAATAAATAGTTAAGTGTTGGCTGCCAAATGGCATAACTTGTTGATATACTTGAACAAGGTTTCTCTCTTCTGCCATGGGTTATGGAGAAGTCCATGTATTCACAATTTTTTTCTTCCCTTAGTTGCCATTGAGAGTTCTTAGAACAGCCTAACAAGCAAAGTGTCTGGTATCCTATAGGTTTTTGTGAAGGCCAGTATTCCCTTCCTTCTTCCAGAATGACCAAGACTATCCCTCCCAGAACTCATCCCATTACTTCAATAAACTTCCTCAATGGCTGGCTATCCATTGCTGGTGGAGAACAAAGGAGAACACCTAACCATAGTATAAATATGTGAGAGGAAGCCACAGGGAGCAAGCTTGTTTTCTGCTTCCCTGGAGACTAGGACGTGGAACAATGGCTTCAAACTACAAGAGAGGAGATTCCATCTGAACACGAGGAAGAACTTCCTGACAGTGAGATCCGTTCAGCAGTGGAACTCTCTGCCCCGGAGTGTGGTGGAGGCTCCTTCTTTGGAAGCTTTTAAACAGAGGCTGGATGGCCATCTGTCAGGGGTGATTTGAATGCAATGTTCCTGCTTCTTGGCAGGGGGTTGGACTGGATGGCCCATGAGGTCTCTTCCAACTCTTTGATTCTATGATTCTATGATAGTAGGCTGTTAGGGATTATGGGAGTTGGTTCAAAACACCTGGAGGGCCGAAGTTTGCCCATGCCCGCTATGGCCCCATAGTCAGATGCTGACAAATGACACCAGCAATTGAGATCTCTGCATAACCCTACCAGATCTTGATGCAAGATGTACTTGGTCTGTGTCTGTATATCAGAACATAACAAGGAGCTTTCCCAGTCCCCTCTACTCTCTAGTAGCAATGGTATGGTCAGTGGATGTGTATTTTAAGGACATGGTGGATCCTTGGGGTAGTAACAGTGAAACTGTAGAAAAAGTCTTGTACTATGTATTGCCATATAGAATCTTAGCCTATGTATTTATAATCCATCCACAATGACTTACAGGTGCCTCACTTACTTGCCCTTATATTGCAGGGATGGCAACTATGTGGTCTTTATATTCCTTGTTATCCCAAATTAATTTTTGCATCTCCCAATTCACAGCCACCTGCAAGCCCTGAAAGTAGTGAATGGCCTCACATAAAGGCAACCTGAAACATGACAGTTTGCTTCTTTTACCTGTCCCCAACACTTCAGATGTCACAGAATCATCCCAGCTAGGGCTTCTGGCTTGCTTGCAATGTTTTGATGTGACTTGCCAAGGAATGCACAGAGATGAAAACTGGCATCTCATATCTGTGCAATCACTGTGTTATGTTTCAATATCAAATGTTGAGTGGCAGCAAATATATGTTTTCTTTTCAACTCAGCTTTCTGCCACATGCACAATTCAAGCCATATATATGACAAACACTACATTAAAAATGTGTGTATAAATGCCATATATGCTTAAGTGTACCATTATGAAAAATATAGCATGTTGAATAGTCTTCAATGGGCTAAACAAGGTCTGAATCCAATTGCCATTAGTGTTTTACTATTAACACTTTTTATCAATGAAGAAAGGTAAGAATTGTGATAGTTCAAACTCAAGGTATTTAAAAGATTGCAAGACATCTTGGAACATCATGCTGCCTCTCCTCTCTAATCCCATTTTTCTTCACTCTTGTTCCAAGGTCTCCTATATCACCATGACTCTCTGGATCAGCTCTCTGCCTCTCCTTGTTTTGATTGCTGTTTCTGCCCCTACCATTAGTTACGCTCTTCCCAATCAGCATCTATGTGGCTCTCATCTAGTGGAGGCTCTCTACCTTGTATGTGGTGACCGAGGCTTCTACTATTCTCCCAAAACACGTCGGAACGTCGAACAGCCCCTAGGTATTTTTTTCTAATTTCTTAAATAACACAAACCAAAGAGTTTCATTGTATCATTTCAGTATTGAGCTCATAAATCTGGAGATAGAGAATTTTGTTCTGGGTGGGGGGTTGAATCCAGCTTTTAATTAATGTTGGCAAAAGCCTATGAGCTGCATTTTAAATAGTATTTTATCTCTTTGGGAATTTTAATGGTTTATTTATTTAATGATAATTCTATGCCCTATAGGACTATGGGCAACTTTCATCTTTTTATCTTTGATGGTTATTTGTATTTACGTGTAATTGTTGTTGTAAACCGCCTTGGATCTTTGGAGAAAGGCGGTATAGAAATGCTCCAAATAAATAAATAAATAAATAAATAAATAAATAAATAAATTTATATAAATAACAGGAAGGTCAATAATGGGCTATATCTCTAGTCAACTAATTATAAAATTATGCTGAATACATTATCTCCCAAATAATGGAAGGAGCACCAAGATGACATTTGACAACACTGGGAAATTAAATTTCTGCTTTGGATAGTTATTTATTTATTTATTTATTTGGTAGTTTTGTATACTGGTCTTCTCACCACCATTCGAGGGACTCGGGCCGGTTTCCAACATCAATATTACAGACCGTCATTAAAACATCATATTTCTAAATCACACTAAAACATTAAAACATTGAAACAATTAAAATGGCAAAAATACAATCATATGATTACAGTGGTCAGTCGTCATCAAAGTCATTATTCGTCGTCATCCATCCATGTCACAGGATCATGGCTCATTCGTTGAATGCCAATCCCCAAAGCCAGGTTTTCACCTGTTTCCTGAACGTTAAGATCGAAGGGGCAGTTCTGATCTCCAGTGGGAGTTCCAGAGTCGAGGGGCCACCACCGAGAAGGCCCTGTCTTTCGTCCCCACCAGCCGCGCCTGTGGGGCCGGTGGGATCGAGAGCAGGGCCCCTCCAGACGATCTTAGTAATCTTGATGGCTCATAGGGGAGGATACGTTCGGGCAGGTAAATTGGGCCGGAGTCGTTTAGGGCTTTATAGGTTAAGACGAGCACTTTGAATTATGCTCGGAAGCTGACTGGCAGCCAATGGAGCTGGTGCAACAGAGTAGTATGCTCCCTGTACCCCACTCCCGTTAGTAACCTGACTGCTGCACGTTGGACTAATTGAAGCTTCCTGGCAGTCTTCAGAGGCAACCCCACGTAGAGAGCATTGCAGTAATCTAAACGGGATGTAACCAAAGCATGGACCACCGTGGCCAAGTCAGACTTCCCAAGGTACGGGCGCAGCTGGCGCACGAGTTTTAATTGTGCAAAAGCTCCCCTGACCACCGCCGAAACCTGGGGCTCCAGGCTCAGCGATGAGTCCAGGATCACTCCCAAGCTGCGAACCTGCATCTTCAGGGGGAGTGTGACCCCGTCAAGCACAGGCTGTAACCCTATGCCCTGTTCGGCCTTTCGACTGACCAGGAGTACCTCTGTCTTGTCAGGATTAAGTTTCAATCTGTTGTCCCTCATCCAGTCCATTACAGCGGCCAAGCACCAGTTCAGGACTTGAACAGCCTCCTTAGTAGTAGGTGGAAAGGAGTAACAGAGTTGGACATCATCTGCGTACAGATGACACTGCACCCTGAAACTCCGGATGATCTCTCCCCATGGCTTCATGTAGATGTTAAATAACATAGGGGACAGTATTGAACCCTGTGGGACTCCACAGTACAATGGCCATGGGGTAAAGCAGGAGTCCCCTAGTGACACCTTCTGGGATCACCCCACGAGAAAGGACTGGAGCCACTGCAAAGCAGTACCTCCAAGGCCCATTCCCGCGAGGCGTCCCAGAAGGATACTGTGGTCGACGGTATCGAAGGCCGATGAGAGGTCCAGCAGAACCAGCAGGGACACACTCCCCCTGTCCAGTTCTCTTTCCTTAATCATAATTACTCCATTCTTAAAAATGATAGTTTGAAATAAGTTGGATGTCCAAGGATCATATATCCATCTGAATAAAGATCAGGAGTGGCCAAAGCCAACATTGTTGGGCAGAATGAAGCAAGTGTCTCAGGCAGAAGATGATAAAGTTCTCTTCCATTTGTTCCTTAGAAAATGTGTAATTTTGTTAGTGTTTTAAGTCATCTGTCAACTCAAGGACATCCCATGAATATATTAGTTTCTCCCTAGGTGAGGAATATTAAAATGTAGTTTTGCCAGCTCCTTCCTTTGAACTATAGTCTATAGCACATGGTCATCATTGATAGTGTCCCACCCAAATACTAACCAGAACTGGTCATGGATAGCTTCCAAGACAGATAGGATCTGGTGCCTTGCAGGCAGAATTCTTATTTGATGGCAATATCCCATTTTGCCACTCCTAATTCCCCACCTGTTGAAAGATGTACATGCTACAGCCTGCCCAGGGCTTCCTACGCAAGTCTGTTGCCTCAGCTATAATAGAGAACACTGCAGTACTGCATTTTGAGTCATCTCCTTTTTTCTGTACATAGAACTGGGAGTAGGCATTCTTTTGTTCTTTGCACCAGGCAACAAAATGTGTTAGGCAGTGGGTATGGACTTCATCATGTTTAGTGCCCTAACATGGCTGAGAGTGTGTGGATTAACTGTGAATCACAGTGTATCCGTGGGGCAGTGGGGGAATCCGTTGTCCCACACTCTGTAGTGCTACTTTCCCCATCACAACGGGGAAAGCATCACTGCTTGCCTTCCACCTACGCTGGTCCCATTGTTGGCAACGAGAACATGGGAAGCCTCTTATGTTCTCCTTGCTCCACCATAGGATGCTTCCAGTACGGTTTGGGGATGGAACTCCACTGGAAGTAGCTGTGTGTCATTTGATGGTATCTGGCAGGCTCTGTTCCTAAACTGTGCTGGAAGCATCCTACAATGAGAAAGAAAGTCCATGTGATGAAGTCATAAAAGTGATATTGCTTCTGTGGAAAAAGGCTCTATCACTGCCAACTAGGCAGTGAAATGGTCACTTATTCCATTTAAAATATGGATATAAACTCAACTACAAGAGAAGACCCATTGAATCAATAGTAAAGGTAAAGGTTTTCTCCTGGCATTAAGTCCAGTCATGTCCAACATTGAATGGGATGTTAATCTTCGGTCATTTTATGCTTGCATGGAAGAATGAACAACCATGGCAATAACTATAGTGCAATTTATGCCTATGGGAAAAATGAATATTCCTCTGTAGTAGTCTCCTCATATTAGAACATTGTGAAGTATTGCAGAGGAATTATTCAATGGAGAAATACTTTTAAAAAGTGAAAACCTCTTTTCAGCACAGAAAATGATGTTTTTTGTGTTGAAATTCGTATGTTTTTCTGTGCAGAATAATTCCTCTGCAACTCTTTGGGGCATCAAATATTTCAAGAAAATTGCTTTAAATTATCCCTTGTCCACTATTCTTCCCAATCTGGGAACGTTAATAATGCATAGCCTTTTCATCTATGGCCATTGCTCATATAAAAGTGCCTGTGATCCAAGGAGCAGAGCACTTCCATTGAGCTCTTTATACTTTTGAATGTTTTATTTCAATATCCCAAGCCAAGGGAAAATTCTACCCTGCTCTTGAGCCTGGTCTTACTCTGATGATGTGTAAAATGGGACCAGGTAATTAGAAAGCTAGACATAAAGTTCCACTAGGCAAGTGTCGCTATTAATGTGGCCAGAGTACCCAGCAGGAAAAAATGTAAATAACATCTCTCTTACAAAATACGATGAATAAGGATGAGTTCTCTGCTGCTGTTATGCAAACAATATCTATTAATAGCTTCCATATTCTTTAACTGAAATTGTGGAAATGTTTGCTCTTTGGATGACCGGACAAATGTCCATATCTTGGACTGTTCTGGCAAGAAGATAAAAGTCTATTTATGGTTATGAGTCAAATATGCCACTGCCTAAATCAGCCAGATAGATTATAAATTGGGTATAACACTGTCCTCATTGCTTTTTAAGAAAATGTTTTATGAGTTTTTGGATGTGTGTGTCTTGTTTGAGATAATTCTGAAGGCAGGGTAGGATGTGAAAGCAAAAGGGAACTCAAAATGGTCAGCACTTATTTGTGGGGTTTAGTGGAACCATATCTGATACAAAAAATCTGGAGGGCCACGTGTTCCCCATTTCTAAAAAAAGGAAAAAATCATAAAACATTTTCTAAAACTGGTCCAACCATCTTTTACCAAAATATCTTTCAAAGATGCATTTAACTTGGGGTCTTCTCTTCCTATGGTAGTGAGTGGGCCTCTACAGAATGAAGTGGAAACCCTGCCATTCCAGCCACAGGACTTTCAGAAGGTGAAGAGAGGAATTGTTCAGCAATGCTGTGAAAATACCTGTTCCCTATATGAGCTGGAAAACTACTGCAATTGAAAGAGCAAAATGGGGCCATGTAGGAGTGAATGGAGAAGAAAGCACTTTGCTATTGCACCTTCAAAGTAACCAAATAAAAATCTATGTGTGTATTTACTTGGCTGAATTCTGAAGTAATTATATAGATTTGAAAAGAGAGAGAGAGAGAGATTACCTCTGGGAATTACAGGTTTAGCATTCCTTATCTGAATTGCTAGTGACCAGATTTGAATTTTAGATTTTGAAGCATTTGTATATATCACACATAACGAGAGGTGAGAAATTCATTCATATTTTGTATGTATTTTATACACATAGCTTGAAGGTAATTTCATATACAATATTTTAAAGAACTTTGCATGGGAAATAACGTTTGTGTACATTGACACCATCATTTCAGATTTCTGGATATGGGATGCTCAATCTATATTTTCCTGTATGAGCACTACATCTTTTGGTGTCTTAAAAGTGAATGCAGAACCGGGAGAGGGGCGAAGAGAGAAGGGAGAGCAACAAAATGATGCACACACTTCTTGGGAAGGAAAGGCCACAAATGTATACATTGATTATAGTTCTAGTACAATTTTGGTTGTGCACTGGGACAACATCTCATGAATTAACAGCGGTTCTTAAACTGTGCTCCGTGGAGCCCTTAGGGCTCTGTGAAGCAAACTGAGGGGCTCCATGCTTCCCTCCTCCTTCACCCTCCTTCGCCCTCATCCTCCTTCAAGAGCACACATAACCAGGGAGGGAGGCACCATTTGGCTGGTCACTCCACCACCACCTGTCGCTTCCCTTCTTCACATGCACGGTAGTTGCAGGATGCTTTTTCCCATGGGGACAAAAGGGGAGAAGGAGTGGTATGTGTGTGCTCCAAGCATGGGGCTGGATTCTAACTCTGTTCAAGTGCACAGTTTTTGCTTCCTTTCACTGCTTGCACCCATAATATAATACACCATATGAACCTTTCTCAATTATAATATATAAACATTTAATAATACATAGATTACTTATATAAAATATTTTAAAAATTATAACAATATATAAACATTTATTAATATATGTATATACACATAATATATACTATATAAACATTTCATGAGAAACTTTTGCTTCAAAAAGGGATTTGTGATTGAATTGAGAATTCCTGAATTAGTATAGCTATCTGCCAAATGCCTGTTGGTCAAATCTTGGGAATGGCAAAGAAGACAGATGGCATTGTACTGTGAACTAAGCCTGGGTAACAACGGAAAAATTTGTTTCTAAAATCGATTTGTATTTGGGGGTTTTTTTTGTTTCGATATTTAAAATAATTACAAAATTTTCCCTTAAAAAAGTTCAGTATTTACGAAATTTCGTTAATATTAACGAATCAATTCGTTAAAATGGCGGACACGGTTGCGCGATGTGAAAATAATAGTTTTAAATAATAGTTTTAACCTCGGAGAAGGAAAGAGGGGGGAAAGAGAGAGAGAGGAGGGGTGAAACAAACCACTTTCTGTGACAGTGAAAGCAGTACTGAAAGATGGCCATCCATTCTTAATAATAATAATAATAATAATAATAATAATAATAAATATAATTAATATAATAGTTTTAACCTGGAGAAGGAAAGGGGGGAAGGAGAGAGAGAGGAGGATGGGTGAGATCTCTATTCTGGTTTGACAATGCTTCTTCTCAATAATAATAATAATAATAATAACAAACCACTTTCTGCCTTCGTGAATGTAAGGGACAGTCAAAGCAGTACTGAAAGATGGCCATCCATTCTTAATAATAATAATAATAATAAATATAATTAATATAATAGTTTTAACCTGGAGAAGGAAAGAGGTTAGGCAGGCAACAGGCAGGTCTCTGAGTGCTGCACTGCTGTGTCTCTTTGCCCAATGCACGCAGGCCAGAGTGAGGAACGAGGTGAGGTGACGACAGGAGGAGAGGAGAATTTGATCCACTTAAGCAGAGGCCAGGGACCCGGAAGTGGGGTAAATGCCGACCGCTTGCAACCAGGGAGAGGGGAGGGAAACAACTATAAAACTTGCACCAGACACATACGGAAATAATAACGAAACAATAACAAAACAATTACGAAATAGCTTTAAAAATTCGTTTCGTTTTTTAGTTGCTCCTGGATGGTTTGTTATCGCTTCGTTTACCCAAAAAATAACGAATTATTAACGAATTACGAAATTAACGAACGAAACCGCCCAGCCCTACTGTGAACAATTGGGCGATACCCCTTTCCTACTACTTGGAAGTAACTCTGTCTTTCAGAGAGCTATGCTAATTCTTTTAAAACTCTCCAAGGTCCCCAAGGACCTCTGCATTTGGAGTGAATAAGTCTACCTCCTCTCGCAATTGGATCTAACCCATGCCTAAACATGCCAAACAACTTCAGTACAATTGTAACCATATATGCCTTAACATGATTTTGAAAATATTAACAACTATTGACCTGGAAACCAAAATCATCATAATCCAAGGAGATAGTTAAAATTCCTTGACTAAAATTTATTTTCTGCTTTTCAATCACCAACTGCCTATAGATATTGTCAAGTATGGAATTATTCAGAAATAGACCAACACTTTATAACAGGGAAGGGTGGATAGTGAAGCTCCAAAACAGATGTGCCTTTTGCTTTATGCTCAAGCAGCAGACTTCAGTGGAGTCTACAGCCTTCCATGTTGGGCCCACCCACAGAACCGGGCAATCCGTGTGATTGGCTTCATTGAATCATGTGCTTTCTGGTGTCCCACAGTGCTGTGCAAGGACTGGAAGAGAGAAAGTAGCCAGCTGCAGTACAGCTCTACTCCTTTCACAAATCAAACTAACATCCGTAGAGCAACAAGGGTTCTGCTAAAAGGAACAAACAAAAGAATGACCCTTCTCAATTCTAATGTTAAGGAAGAGTTAACTCTGTCTAGGATTTGGTAAGGGACGTAGGAGTCCTATATGTGGATGAGATCTCCATGTGTGAGAGCTTCCTCTATTCAGGATCTGATCCACAGGCAAATATTAGATTCTATTATTCAAAGGCATGAGGTACCCTCACCACACAGGATGCACATGGGAAGAGATTATGGGAACATCAGGGCATCTGACAAAAAGCATACTCATTCTCAGGAAAGAGAAGAGAAAGGGGAAGAAAGAAATATTTCTGGGAATGCATGTTTTGCGAGGATATAAATAGAAGAAATTTCTACACAGTGGCGGTCGTTCTTGGTTCAAAAATTATGTGAAGAGACCTTTTGGAAAAGCAAACAGGCTGAAGTGGGGTGATTAACAGGGATGACAAAACAAAACCCAGTGACAAGCAAGTCAACACTTTGTTTTAATATTTTCCAACCTTAACCAGTGTGTTTCCAGTCATCTGTGCTAAGACTTGGCTATATTTAATGGATACTTCATTTTCCCTCACATATACACATACAGTTGTGAACATTCCTGCCAGTATTCTTCATCATGTTTTACCATTATGAGCCACATTGAAAAGAATACACCGCTCCCTGCCCCCACAAACATATTACAAGAGGGTGCTTTTGGAATTGAAGACAACATTATTTTAATTTCAGACAGATGTAATCTTCGCAAAAACATACACTGGATGTTATTGTGCCATTTGTTAGCATTTTATGTTCACCAGCATACTATCAGTTCTCTGAGGGTAACATGGAATAATATGCTCAAATATGGAAGTTCTGTGAGTAGTTGAATATAGAGGGAACAGCAGATTCTGCCCTCATTGCACTGCAATCTTGAGGTTCCTTGCTATTGATTATGGGAAGAGAGCTATCCACAAAGATTCTGAACATGTTGTGTGTGCATTCCATCTCTCCTGCTGTTTTTCTGTTACCTTTTTTGGTAGAAGGCCACATGTCTTGGTCACTCTGGAACTTATCATTGGGATACATTATGAAAGTTATGAGAGAGTCATCTGTTTAAAAAGATCCTGGCATTCTTTGCTTAAAACAGAGCAAAGTTGTGTTAATGACAAAAGGAATGGATTACTTACTGGATGTCACCAGGGCTGACTGGTCGCACAGGATTCAAGAGTCCAGTTTTTTAAAATTAATGTAGTCCCTTCTTGTCCTATTTCTTTCCAGATCATTTAAGGGAGCTCAACTTCAACTTACTTCATCTTAGGGGGTTGCTTAAGCCCTTCCCTCAGCCTGCTTTTCTGAAGTCCATACTACTGCGCTTATGGTGCAATTTGGCTTCTCCCATTAAATCCATTTTTATGTCCTCATGTGCCTATCACTGTGCTACTATCACATACATTCAGCAAATCACAAATTTTAAGTTTCTTTTTAAAAAGAAAGAAAGAAAAGAAATGTCTTTAGTAGCCTCTCTAACTTAATGGCAGTTGTAGAATATGTGGGAATAAAGTCGTGAGATTGCCAGGTTTTCCAACAACTGGTTTTCCCATTCCTGGCATGTTCCATGTTTGAGGAGCTTGGGAAGGGAGAGTGAGATCAGCAGTCAGTGGTTCAAATTCATTATTTGACAAGAAACTGACCTGAATGAAGACCCTGACTTCAATCTGCTTGGGATGAGGAGGGCCTGCTGGCGCATGTGGCAAAGGGAGACCTATGTGGTCTACTTTGACTTCCAGAATCCAAAAAAGCTTGCAGGGCAGGACTTACCTATATGGTCTCATTTGGCTCCAATAATTCAAAATGGGGAGAAAAAGTGTTACTATTATGCGATAAAATATGATAATTTTAAAGTGTAATATTGTTGTAGCTATTGTCATATTCTTAAGTATTTTTCTATTGTTTTTTCTAGTTGATTCTCCATCATGCTCAAAAGGAAAAGTTCATTTTTAGGACTGCTCAACTCTAGAACTTTTAATAATAATCAGAAGACAAGTAATATCATTTTTACACTTTCAACAAGGAGGGGTTTGGGGCCCCTTCCACACAGACCTATATCCCAGAATATCAAGGCAGAAAATCCCACATTATCTGAGTGTGGACTCAGATAATCCAGTTCAAAGCAGATAATGTGTAATTTTCTGCCTTGATATTCTGGGATATGGGACTGTGTGGAAGGGCCCTGGCACTCAGGTGAAGCCTTTCAAACCCTGAGGTATCATTCCCAGTGATAGATTATTTGC